GAATAATTTTATTATTTATTTTACTTTTATATATTATTTAATATAAATTTTTAAAAAGTATAAGTTTATTTTTTAAGTGGATTTTTTTTTCGGAATTACTGGGACCGACTGTACCTGCAACAGTGAGGCTTGAAGTTGGAGCTGCAGATGGTATCCCCTAAATGCAGCGAAGGCGGCAGCGAGGTCACGACAGGGATTTTAAACCAATTAAAAGCTAGTATTTAAAAGGTACTTCATTTTATCCTTAATTTATATGATAAGGAAAGTCCCCATAAACTATAAACTTTTATATTATAAGAGACTACATTACATATATTATAGCCTTATTATTATTAGGCCTAATACAGTTATTGGTAATGTCACTTAAGGTTTACGGCCGGTAGCAGGGGCGTTATGGAGCCCGTGACCTCACTGCCGCCTTCGCTGCATTTAGGGGATGCATGTGCCGCAGCCATGCAGTCGGAATCCTCGCCCTCCAGAGGTGTGTGTTTTGGAGGGTGATGTTCAAAGTGGGCAGGTCTGAACCAACGACTCAGTATCCATCGATTCATTCTTGGAAAGGGTTGGCTGATGGCGAACATGAATCGTGATGGATGCTTGGTGCTTGAGAAGGCTTTGCGAGGTAGTTAGTTGGTGGTATTAACCAAGAAAGACCAAAGGCCAATCAGGAACTTTGCGAGTACGTAACAGAAGTGTTCCTGGCGATTCTGGCGTGCCCGGAAGAAGACTTGGAGTATAAGTTGAGGCTCCCTGAAGACCTTCGTTGTGCTCATAGAATCAGGGCGTCAATGGTTGACAATTTGTTGACCCGATATTAGTAGGCAGTTAGCATGGTCGTGTCTCACGCCCGTGTGACGAGGTCTCACAGGAACATTGCACACCGGCCGCATTTGGTAACCGTGCCGGAGCAGACAGGCGTTCACTGCTTGATCCAGCTATCGAGAGCCATGTGTGCAGAGTGCGTATGCCGGATTAGATGCATGCTGTCTCAACGGCTAACCAGACAGGTTCTCTTGGCAGCCCTGGTGATGCGTCAAGAAAGCCCAACATTGAACTAATGGGCCTTGACCTGTCCAAATGCTGCTGGTGAACAGAACTCGTGGTTGCGATTGAGGTGTTGAGGTGCGGAGTAATACTGACTGTGTGCTCGATACTCCGTACGCACACACAACACACACACATATTAACCTACCAACGTTGCCTACATCCTCGGTAATATTGCAACTACAAATCCAACCAACATGGTGGTTGAACATGGATCGAGGATGGGGCGGGTGGGTGGTACCACACCAACTATCCCGTTGTTCCAAAGTTTGCCCATCCATGCACAGTTGCTTGGTACCTGCTGCAGAGTACCCTGGGGAGATTGTCATATTGATGCTTCTTGTAGTGATGGTGCTTGTTCGTCTCCGCGCTGATCCACGACGCTTCGCTTCAGGAGCATCTTCAGTCTTTGCTTTCAACCTGAGTTGCGTGAACGCTGGTGAACATGTGGACATTTGAAAGCTGAGTCCTTGACTTTGTGGCACAGCAATCACGCCTTGCAAACCCGGCCAAGCCAGACTGGGCATAGTGACTCCATCTTTGTTGTGTCGGATGCCTGTTCGCTTGATGTTGCTTGATGTTGCTCGATGAACTGTGCCTTTGGGAACATCTGGATACCCATGTTCACACCCCACGGCGGTGATATAAAAGGCGGACCATCCGCAGACCCGCGGCCGGTCCATCTTTGCAGTCGAGACTCGAGACTCGAGCATCAAGTCGGTGAGTGAGAGGCCTTGCAAGCCAGATACCGATTCTGCACTATCCGCGTTGGCATCGTGGCGCCTCTTTGGTCCCAGACATTGTCCCTTACCTCGTCCCAAGGACATTCCTTGCCTCAATTGCACCAGACAATTCTGAGCTGCCGTGTTGCCAGAAAAACCTACCAACCTCCACAGGCACTCTGCATCCAAGACCTCAAGTACGAACCGAGCACATAACCACCAGCCAGAACGCCCATCGATTTGATCTTGGCCACCACGGCTGGGAAACAAGCAAACAAACGAGCGCACGCCGCCGCCACCATCACCATATCTTCTTTGACCTTCTTCCCACCCGAGGGGCTGCTACATCCCTCTCATCCACTAGCGGAATACATACCTTGACAGTGATCGCACAGACCCATAGGCTATTTGACGACGTCGGCTGGCTCGAACTGTACCTATTGACCCCACTGTCATCATCATCTGACGGCACCCGGACCAGACCTGTCCCGTTGCCAGCCAGGACGACCTCTTCGCGCAGCGTCTTGCAATCCGTCCTCCGTGAACCTGGCTCGCGTCGCAACTGCACAATGCCGTCGGTACATTCCTCGGGCTTGGCAACCAGCCGCCATGCTCCTGCGGTTCTCTTGACGGACTGCCTCGAAAAGCCTTCGCTTGACGACCGTGACTATCGCGTTGTCCTCCTCGAGAACAAGCTGGAGGTACTTCTCGTCCACGACCCGCAGGCCGACAAGGCCAGTGCTGCCTTGGACGTCAATGTTGGCAATTTCAGCGATTCGAAAGAAATGCCTGGTTTGGCACATGGTGTAGAACATGTCAGTATAAACAGCCCATCCGGGTACTTGCACTCTTTTTTTCTCTTTTTGTTGGCCCATTGGCTAATGCTTGTAGCACCGCAGCTTTTATTCATGGGCACAAAGAAATATCCCGGGGAAAATGAATACAACCAGTACTTGGCTGCCAACTCGGGCAGCTGCAATGCCTACACGGCAGCCACTTCCACTAACTTCTTCTTTGAGGTGGCGGCCAAGCCAGCCAACGATGAAGAACCTTCAGACACCAATCCGTCACCGCTTTTTGGGGCTCTTGACCGCTTTGCGCAGTTTTTCATTGAGCCCTTGTTTTTGGAAAACACGCTGGACAGAGAGTTGAACGCTGTGAACGACGAGAACCGCAAGAACCTGCAAAATGATATCTGGCGCTTAAACCAGTTGAACAAGTCGCTAGCAAATCCCGAGCACCCCTATTGTCATTTCTCTACGGGTAACTTGGAAGTGCTCAAGACGAAACCCGAGTCCCAAGGGATCAATGTTCGTGACAAGTTCGTCGAATTCCATGACAAGCACTACTCTGCCAACCGAATGAAGCTTGTTGTTCTTGGCCGCGAACCCCTTGACGTACTACAGAAATGGGTGGTGGAACTGTTCTCGGGCATTGAAAACAAGAATCTGCCTCAGAACAGGTGGACACAGCAACCACTGTATCGTGATGCCGACCTGGGCACACAGTGCTTTGCCAAACCAGTGTTGGACTCAAGGACGCTGGGTCTGTTGTTTCCCTTCATCGATGAGGAGAATATGTTTGAGACGCAACCGAGCAGATACATTAGCCACCTAGTTGGGCATGAAGGCCGCGGCAGCCTTTTTTCATACCTTAAAAACAAGGGCTGGGCCAATAGCATATCTGCCGGTGCGTATCCTGTGTGCCCTGGATCGCCCAGTATATTTGAAGTGGAAGTGAAGCTTACCAAGGAGGCACGTACAAACATCCCCGGCCATGCTTGGACCGGAACCGTATACGCTAACAGACGTGTTGATTTAGGGATTGGATCACTACCCCGAAATCGCCATGGTCTTTTTCCAGTACGTTGCTATGCTACGGGAAAGTCCTCCGCAGCAATGGATATTCGAAGAGCAGAAGGTCATGGCCGAGGAGAACTTCAAGTTCACACAAAAGACACTGGCTAGCAAATTCACGAGTTCTATCAGCTCGGTCATGCAGAAGCCTTTGCCCCGTGAGTGGTTGCTTAGCGGCCAAAAGCGATTGCGAACTTTTGACGCCTCACTTATTACAAAGGCTTTGGAAAAGCTGTGCCCAGAGAACATGAGACTTGTGATTGTTTCTCAAGAGTATCCAGGAGACTGGGACAAGAGGGAATATTGGTACGGAACAGAGTACCGTCACGAGAAAATACCCCCGAGCCTCATGGCCGAACTCCAGGCAGCGCTTAAAATGTCCAAAAATAAGCGTCTGCCCGAATTACATTTGCCGCACAAGAACAACTTCATCCCTAATAAACTCGAAGTGGAGAAGAAGGAGGTCTCAAAACCTGCACTGGCTCCACGGGTCTTACGGAATGACCAAGGAGCGCGGACTTGGTGGAAGAAGGACGATACATTTTGGGTCCCCAAAGCAAATGTCTTTGTTAGCTTACAAAGCCCAATTTTCCACGCGTCTGTGGGGAATTGCGTCAAGGCGACACTCTTCACTCAGCTTGTTGAAGATGCCCTCGAAGAATATTCATACGATGCCGCACTCGCCGGGCTACAGTATAGCGACTCGCTTGATACGCGAGGACTCTGCATAAAACTCTCTGGATACAACGAGAAGCTCCCTGTCATGCTGGAGCAGGTGGTCAACACCATGAGAGGCCTCGATATCCAGGAGGATCGCTTTCGTATCGTCCATGAGCGGCTTGTACGTGCCTATGAAAACTCACAACTTCAGTCGTCCTTTCAACAAATAGGAGGCTATTTGCCTTGGCTCAACGCCGAGACTCTCTACAATGTAGAGGAAATGGCTGCCGAGCTTAAGCACGCCACTGTTGATGCTGTGCGACTTTTCCAAAAGCACATGCTGTCTCAGTTGTACATTGAAGTATATGCACACGGCAACCTGTCTCGAGGCGACGCTGTCAAGTTGACTGACATGGTCGAGACCACGCTCAGGCCTCGTCCTCTACCTCGATCTCAATTGCCGATTATTCGCTCTCTCATACTTCCTCGTGGTTCCAATTTTGTTTTTAAGAAGGAGCTAAAAGACCCTCAAACTATTAACCATTGTATTGAGACATGGTTTTACGTTGGCGACCAAGGCGACCGCCAACTCAGAGTAAAGACTCTTCTTACTGCACAGATGATTCAAGAGCCCGCGTTTGACCAACTTCGCACCAAGGAGCAACTTGGATACGTCGTCTTCTCAGGCATGAGAACCTTTTCCACTACTTCTGGACTTCGATTCTTGATACAAAGCACGCAGAAACCCAAGTACATTGACAGACGAATTGAAGCCTTCTTGGTTCAATTTGGACAGAAGCTTGAGCAGATGAGCGACTCCGAGTTCGAGAGTCACAAGCGAAGTCTGATGGTTAGGCTCCTTGAGAAACTGCGTAATCTCGATCAGGAATCGTCGAGACACTGGGGTCCAATTGATGGCGAGTATTACGACTTCGAGCTAGGTGAGTGAAGTCTACCATGTACCACGTCGCATTCGACCTGGAGTATATGAATGAAGTATGCTGACGTTGAGATGACTGAACAGACCAGCAAGATGCGGCCCATGTTAAGCCACTTACCAAGGCAGAAATGGTGCAATTCTACAAGACCTATTTCCACCCCTGCTCAAGCACTCGTTCTCGCCTCTCAGTGCATCTCAAGGCACGCGGCCTGGATACAAAGGTCATGGAAATATTGAAAGAAGCCGGTGTTGAGGATGTCCCAAAAAAGAAGCGGAAGAGTGTGGACGTCTTACGCGAGTATCTTGAAAGCGGCGAAATTCTCCAAAGTGAAAACTTAGGTGCTGTTATTTTAAAGATTCAGAAATGCGGACTTCCTCCGTCTACCGAAACTAACGCGACAAATGGGTCCACGAAAGATACCGGTGCAGTCGAAACAGCTCAGAAGATTACCGACGTGCGCCAGTTCAAAGCGAGTCTGCAGGCTAGCTCAGGCGTACGACCTGTCAAGCAGATTAGTGAGTTTGAAGAGACCGATGCCAAGTTATAAACAGACTGAAGCACCAAAAATAAAAACAAGAATAATGGATATGAAGGCATTGATGGCTCTTCTTTCTTGCTATTGGACCCCCTCTTTTTTTCGTTTTTCTTTTATTGCTTTATGAACTGCTTAATTTGGTTTTATTTGTTTCTTTTAGGGCGAAGACTACACGCCATGTGGCTTTCAACGTGAGGTATCAGAGCAACCAGGAGGCTCATATTGGTAGCAGAGGGTTGCAGGCGAAGAAAAGTCATAGAAGAGGTTAGACGAGCAACACCGGCGACGGACAGCAACATTGTAGACACTGTTTTATAGAAGCAGCCCACGCTAATCAGTACGTTGGCGCTCAGGCTTGCTGAGATGAGTTTAGTTAAAAGGTCGGGTCGATATGTTGGATGTCATCATGGTGGAATCTATGTAGCTGGAAGTACAGGGCGAATGGTCGAAGCATCACAAGCCCGTGTTCCCTGTTCAATTGAAGGAAAAATAGTGTGCGCCAGCAGCTACAGATGTCTTGAAACAGATTGATGAGGCGAGTCTAACCCCCGTTGGCCGGCTGAACGCTTGGGTCCTCGTCCGCGCCCCGGGATCAATTGATAATAATTTTAGAACCGCTTGCTCGATGTTTGAAGGCTCACAAGCTCGTTTGTTCCTTCAGGCTCCGTCATTCTCCTCTTAGCATGCCAAACCGTCATATTCAACGGGATATTTGACCAATATGTGGCCAATCATCTTGCCAAGCCCCGCATGTGAACACGAGACTGCTAGAATGTAGTATTGCAATTCTCCCCATATTTCGGATACTACCGACCAGCTGTCTCCCACTCAATCAAAACGACCGCCCCGTTTTCTCTTGCCATGATGTTCTTTCTTTGCAAGCCGCCACGTGTGAAGATTGGCTTGTGATCACGTAGAATAAGAGGGAGTACACGGCGATAATACGCGGCCATGTTGATCCAGACCGCTGTGATCAAGATACTTTCTTTCTCAAGGCGCCGTCTAAACTGGACGCTGAATGAAGAGGTCTTGGAAATACCATCATTAGTTTTAATTTCTTCCGGGGTTATAGGGGAGCTGGAAGTCGAGATTGAGAAGCATGGAACGTTGCCATCAGCCTGGGATTGTACCCGGAAATATGATGTAGCGGGTGCCGAACCAGTCCCTTTTCAGGCAAGGCACGACGAGTTCGGCCAAACTCCCTGAATCTGTTTCAATCATGATATCAGGCCCAATATTCTTTACGTTCTGCATGCTGTCGAATCACCGTAACACGAATACTTATCATGATTTCCATGACACTATGCTGATGTAGCCGTGGTGCAGTGCATGCCAAACCTACTGTGCCCTCTGACAGCAATGCATCACGCTGGCCCGCTTACCCGTCTGTTGACGGTCTTTTTTGAAGGCCAGAAATCAAAACTTTGTGCGCAAGTCCTGGAAATCCCGTCCCGGCCTTCCCTTCTTTCTATTTCCAATGCATGCGTCAAGGTCAAAGCCGTTGGACCACCTGGCCGAAGCTGATGCGATGGGACTTGTGGCTAAGGAGACATCGACGCCGGTGCCCAAATTATATTGCGCATTCACCAACAAAGGTGGTGACATTGCACATCCTAATGAGCAAAAGTACGGGGCATATGGCCTCTCGTGGATGGGACAGCCGGCCCGAAGAGTTTGAGGATCGCATACTCTACCAGCTGCGACAAATGCTCCATCAAAGCTCCCAAACCTTTTGACACGGTAGCCTTTACGCACGGGGAACTCCGCAAGTCCAATGTATTGGTCAAGGGAAACCAAATCGTCGGCATCATTGACTAGGAAAACAGCGGGGTGTTTTCCTTCTTATTGGGAGTACACTTGGTGCTAGGAGCGTTGCAGTGAATGCCTTCTCCTAGTGCGATGGTTGACCAAATTCTCTAGAGCCGAAGCGTCATGAGCTCCGAATGGAACACTAGGAGACGATACTGCGATTTCTGAACCAAACTTTAATCTCTTCAGCGGCCACCCCACGCATTCGATTAAGGCGCCAGGTCCGCATTTTTAATCGTGTCTCACGTTAGCGCCAGTGCCGGGTCATCATACGCATCAATCAAATCGACCGACACTGCACTTCTCCTCTACATATCACAAAGCCGTATCCCTAACCGCTGTTAGTAGCTGATTTATCGTGTTTACAGTGGACAAACGTGTTGGAGACATCTCGAGCGTACCTCCCAACGTAAAGATGGTCCTTTTCCGTCGAGTCTCAGGGAAGGGCGATTTACGCGCTCAAGATTCCGTGGACTTTGCCGTAACTGAGCGTTTACTTCATTTGCGGCCCTACACGCACGCGTAGGCCGATCGTATGTGTGGCCGGCCCGTTTCAGCTAGCATTTTAAGGTTTGGCAGACTTTGCATCGTTTACTGTTATGACGACATCTGAACGAGTATAAATGATGGTCTCCATGACCTGAAGGCGGGAGGAGAATCCAACAACAGTTCACGCTGTCGGTGTACCTGCAACACCGCATCGCACGGGGTGATATACGTCCAGACTCAAAAAGAAACGACCAATTCTCTTGATTGCGACTCGCTGCCTAAAATGGAAGACCGATCCGCGCCTACTCACAGTTTTTGCTCTCTGGTCCATTGACATGGCACGAAATCCAAAGACACGGCCGGCTAGCCACATACAAACAGAGAGCATTCCAACGACTGGAAAGGAGCTGTCAGATGTCCATTCGACCCAAGGCACCCGACCTGGTTGGGACCAACTCTGTAACGAAGCAGAGGACTGACCTGAAATGGGCTGAGCACCCGAGTCGAAATGTCTCTGCAGAATCTGTCTTGATGTGCTTCCGTACAACTGCCTCAGCCGTGACATAGTGACAGCGGTTTGCCTTACACACCGAGTATTTCTAACCCCAATTCGCAGAGTTACTCGATATAGTTTAGAATATATTAAGAGACCACACGTCATAGGGGGGCTATTATATTCGACAACTCTTAAAGTCACGCGCTTGGTCAAGCTGCTACCAGCAAAATCTTGACAACCACGAGACAATAACACTTCTGTCGGCTTCATGCTTGTAAGCCCTCGGCTACATTTGTGAGACTGTCTGGGATCGGGCCGCCCCCGGGAAGGCGGTAGGCTTTGCGAGTAAAAGAGCCAGCGCCACCATGTCATTCATAGAGATTTTGAAAAGATGTGCGCGGGCTGGTAGGTGTGAGTGAACCATTCGACACGACACTTGGACCGGACAGACTCCTTGGAACAGGCACCAATTAGTTGACCTGGGGTCTGGTGGCGCTCAAGTGGCCGTATGCACTGTTCGATGTCGTCTGCCCAGCCGTCTCTCTCCACTGGCATCCAGTGTCTGTTTTCTTTCTTCTCTCTGTGCTTCTTTCAATGTCAACTGGTCTCGTCTTTTCTTTCTTTCTTCACACGTTCTGCCCCACTAGTTGAGCCTACCTACGGCCATTGATCCCCCGTTTGTGTGCCCCCCCCCCGGTGCCCAGTGCCCCGTCCAGCACTGACGCCGCCTGCCGCTGGCTGTGTGCTCAAGGCTCTCAGCTGCCCAAGTGGCCCCAGCCCGGCGCCGTCAACTAGCACTCAATGCTAGACCAGACCAGTTGACTTTTACAAGCCAGGCAGGCAGTCGAGTCGTCGGTCTGGACTATCTGGAATCCCATTTTGTTTCCGTCTAGTCGCCACAAAGACCACCGCATTTTCGTACCTTTCGATGCGTGAGGCTGCTTCATCAGTCCCTCGCTTTCCACTGGATCAGAATATCTGTCACTTCCGGCGCCATCATCAGCGTTTGTCCACGAGCTGCTCGGGCAGCTCACTGTCAAGACGTCTTCCTCAAAGAAGAGAAAGCTTGCCCGTCCGCCGCCCTCGACCAAGCAAGTATTGGACGCTCCAGCTTCGCCATCCCCCGATTCCGCCCTGCCCTCGTGTGAAGTTGAAGCCGACGACGATCCTGTCCTGTCCTTCTCTGCCGAATTCAACTCTATAATTCCTTCCCGCGCGTCCAACGCCCCTCGTTATCTTCTCCGTTCAGAGCCGCTGCCTGTTGCAACCGCCTCGAGCCTCCCCCCGCGGTTGCAACACACCCACGCCGCCTCCCTCGTCTCGGCCGACTACGCCTCCTCGACCGCATCCTCGCCCTGCGCCTCGGCCTACGCTGAGCTTTCTCTCGAGAGCGACAGAGGAGGAGACGAGACTGGCTCTGCACGGAACCCAGGCAGAAGCCAGTCTCCCTTTGTTGTCTCAAGGAGGGCCATGATGAATGGCGACGCCGAGCTGCCGCAACGATCTTCCTCGCCACTAAAACGAAGAGCCTCCAGCATGGATCCCGACGCTGCTCCATCCAAGAACGGCAGCACCATGGACACGGATGGCTCTCAGTCCAGCCAGCAAATAGATCCATCCACCACTGAATTTCCCCGCGCAATGAGCGTCGATGCCCCCGATGTAAACTGCCACGAAGCCCCACCGAATCAACGTAAGAAACTATGCCACCCCGACAAGATATGATGCCTTCCTTTGTATGGCATATAAGTATATGCCAAGAACAGACACCTACACCCACAAAAACGACCCAAGACTTTAATATGTATGTATAAAAATATTTAAATGAGCAAATGCTGACGCTGGCAAAAAAAATTTCTTCAAAAAAAACAGCACCCCCGCCACTGCTAGAACAAGTCAAAATCATCGAAATGCTGTTAAAAGCATTTGCCGAAGCTCCTACGCAGGAAGGCAGTGTAGCCTATCTGATTTCGAGAACTTGGGTCGATAAAGCCCTTTCTTTGCGGTCCGGCTCGAAGTCTGCCGTAGCTGACGCCGAAAGTATCTTCTTGGGGCCGGTTGACAATTCAGACATTATCCAGGAGATAATCAAAGACTCGAGCGGCAGGGATTTTGTGCGTCTCATACCTGGTTTGGGCAATGAATCCTTCGAACTATTTCCGGAAGATGCTTGGAAACTAGTCATGGATTGGTATGGCATAAAGGAAGGACAGCAGCC